CTCCTGGGCTCAAGCAATCCTGCTGCCTCAGCCTCCCGAGTAGCTGGGACTACAGGCATGTGCCACCATGCCCGGCTAATTTTTTTCTATATAGTTTTAGTTGGCCAATTAATAGTAGAGACGGGGTCTCGCTCTCGAACTCCTGACCTTGAACGATCCGCCTGCCTCTCAGCCTCCCAGAGTGCTAGGATTACAGACGTGAGCCACCGCGCCTGGACCTTACGTTTCTGATTATTTCTCCAGGATAGATTCCTAGAAATGACATTACTGGGTCAAAGTGGATGGACCATTCAAAGCCTCTGAATAAAAATAAATATTGCCAAGTAGCTTTCAAGGAAGGTTTTTCTAATTCCTACTCTCACCAGCAATACGAGAGCGCGCGGCTCACTAAGAACTCTGCTCTTTTGGAGCAGTGCAAAATGGTGCGTTTAAACTTCTGTTTATTTGATCAGCAAGGGTGAACATTCTTTCCTGCAATTCGTATTTCTTCCTTAGTGAATTGCCTATTCCCATCTTTTGCTCGTTTTTCTACATGGACATTGTTTTATCCTTACAGTGTTGTTTTAACAATATAAAATTTTTTTTAAAAAACCATCTGGTTGCTAGTCCATGACTGCTGAATACTGGCAGAGGCCCACAAAAGCGCGCTCACCACTTGGAAGCTTTCCACCCGGCTTTTATTCTCCATGGTGGAAGCAGAAGTTTCCACAAAACACCAGACTCGGAATTACTGCAAAGGCGTCGGCTCTCCCTCCCGGGAGAAACGTCTCGCGGGATCTCCGCTGTCCTTGGGGCCTCCGACACGACTTCAAATCCCAACATGCAACGCGCCCCCTGGCCTGAGCGCCCGAATGAAGGCCCAGAGTCAAGGTCATGTGTCTGTCTGCGTCGTGCGTCCGGTCATCTCTCCCACGCCTTTTTCTTCAGTTTCCACCTTGTCGCCATTTTGTGCGGGAGGTTATGGAACCTCTGAGTCCCACCGACTCTATGGTCGAGAGGTTCAGGGATTGACCAATCGTAATCCAGATGTCGGAGGAAAACCCCGCCTCCACCCGCATGGAGGCGGGAATTGCCACGAAGCTCCTGTGGAGAGAGAGGAAGGAGCTGCGGAGAACCAATAAGAAAGGAGGGATCGGTGACTCTAACCAATGGAGGCGCGGGGGGATTGCGGCCAATGAGAGTGGAGGGGCCCCAGGACACGTGGGTGGGGGAGCGGAACGCTGAGACCAAGGGCTATAGCCGAGAGGTGAGTCAGTCACCTTGAGCCGGGCGAGCGCTGGTGGGCCGAGCAGGGGCTGCAGGGCAGAGGGAGTGCAGGTGACTTGGGGCCAGGAGCCAGCGATCGGCAGGGTTGTGGGCTGGGCTGTGTGGAGGGGCATTTACCCCCAGTGCTGGGAGAGGCAGTGAGACCCTATATATACAGCGTTATCAATTAATGTTAGTTGCCAACAGTAATGAGCGATTACTGCCCTGGCTGGGGCGCGTCGAGGACAGCTTGTAAGATGGGCAGGGCCGTACGCGATACCTGCCCAGTGTTGGCCTCCAGTCTTCCCGGGAGACCATCCCTTTCGCAACATTTCCCTCCTGGGGCTTGGGCCTCCTTCCTTTACTTCCGATCTCGGTGATTTCGCGTGCAGACCGGCCGCGCAGTCTGTGACCTCTAATGCCCTCTTCAGCTGGGGGACGGTGCAAGGAAGAGCGTGGTCCAGAGAGGTCGGCCGGGGGTGAAGGAGACGACCGAAGGTCGCCACTATAAGCAAACAACCGGACTCCCAGTGGAATTATTATTACTTTTTTTCCCCTCTGCAGACTGAAAAAATGCAGACCACCGGGGCACTACTCATTTCGCCGGCTCTGGTAAGCTGCGGCTCCGGGGTGTTCTGTAGTGCCAGCTGTGGTGTGGGCGCCATCGATGTTTAATGAATGAACTGAGAGAAGCTTGGCGTCCTGATGATGTTGGCTCTTTGGGGAGTTTGTAGGATGTGATGAAGGTAACCCCTGTTTATTTGGGCCTGTAAACCAAGCTGTCTTGGCTTTAGAATGTTGTCAGAGAGTCTAGATTTGACCTTTACCCCCCAGCCTGGCCTGGCCATAGCCAGACAGCCCACTAAATCCATGGTTCTCAACCATGGCTGCACATTAGAATCATCTAAGGAGCTTTTTAAAATCCTTATGCCCAGACTGCACCTCAAATCAGTTGCATCAGACTTTGGGAATAGGGGCCAAACCCAGTTATCTATACTTTTTAGAACTTCCCAGGTAATTCCAATGTGCAGCCAAGCATGAGAACCACTGCACTAAAAAGTATTTCAAGAAAGCCATGTTACAGATGACTCTCCTCAGATGTCTGTTCCAGGAATGTCACCAGGCTTAGCAGCCCATTCCATTTAGGGTGTGCTGCATTAAAAACATTTTAGCAAAATAAAATTTCCCCCTCTGATTACTTTGGTGATTTGGGTACAAACCCTTTCTACACCTGTTTTGATATTAGTGTGGGTTTCTGTTCTGGGAAATTGATTAAGGCTTTGCCCAAAGAAGTGGACTTTGGTACATGGTTTTGAATGGTGACGGTTGCCACTGCTGACTACACCAGGGTCTCAGGATAATTGTCTCTGGTGTGGACCTATCTGGTAGAAACAGGAATAATTGGCCTTGAAATACATTGGACTTTCTCTGTTGATGATGTTCTAGTCATTTTTGACAGGGCTTGGCAATTAGGATTTTTTTTTCTTGCCTGATTTGGTGGTGGGATGTGTTTTTTAATTTTACAGATCCGCTGTTGTAGCAGGGGTCTAATCAGACCTGTGTCTGCCTCCTTCCTGAATAGGCCAGAGAATCCATCTAAACAGGTAAGGGAGTAAGGGCCCTCTTAGGAATGTCCCCAGACAGGGCTCCTTCAGGTTGAGTTGCCTTTAGGCCAAATTGGGAGAAGAGTTAGAGAATCTGTGGTTTTTTGTAATAGTTCTAAGTCCCCCAAGGCAAGCATTGTATGTGAGGTTTGCCTAACCCACGAAATTTCTCTAGCCCTGTCTAAAAACAGACCCTAAGACTAATTTCCAGCATACTCTGCAGTCAGAGCATTCTTTATTTGCCAGGCTGTTTGCCAGCAGTTTCAGAGCTCAGGTGGATGGGGTGAGAGGGTGAAGTCGGCCACCTGTCCATGTGCCTCACTATCCCCTTGTGCTCTCTCCTTCCTCACTTCCCCTCCTAGCCTTCCGATTGCAGCTCCCCACTCCAGGTGGCCAGACGGGAGTTCCAGACCAGTGTTGTCTCCCGGGACATTGACACAGCAGCCAAGTTTATTGGTGCTGGGGCAGCCACAGTTGGTGTGGCTGGTTCAGGGGCTGGCATTGGAACGGTGTTTGGAAGCTTGATCATTGGTTATGCCAGGTAAGTTTGGGTGGCCACTGTTAAGTTTCACCCTATTTGGAAGGAGTCTCAACAGGAGAGGATCCCTTCAGGAGCCATGTCCAACCTGGCTCACTTAAACTTACCAAGTTGGCCCACTCTGCTTGCCCATCCAAACCCTCAGGATATGTGTAGGCTGGACCCTCTCTCAGTCATAGCCCTCCCCATTCACCTCACCCTCCTGTGTACTCCACTGGTATCTGTGCCCTCACCTTGTCCTGGCATCTGTCTCTGTCCCTGACAGGAACCCGTCTCTCAAGCAGCAGCTCTTCTCCTATGCCATCCTGGGCTTTGCCCTATCTGAGGCCATGGGGCTCTTCTGTTTGATGGTCGCCTTCCTCATCCTCTTCGCCATGTGAGGCTCTGTGGGGGTTCACCTACCCGTCCCTGCTGCTGCTACTCCATGCCATTCCCGGTGTTGGGGTGTGCTAAGCTTTACCATTAAACACAAGTTTCTCTAAACCCATGTCTGTGCCTCTGTCATTTGACCTGGGGAGGGCCTTGGTGGAAAGGTAGGAAGAGGGGATTAGGTCAGCCATTAATGATTAGGAACTCCTCAAAGCTGAAAAGTAGCACTGCCTTGGCTGTAAGGACATGGAGGGGTTGTGTCATCTCCCAGGCAGAATGTGGATTTGTCTGAGTAATGATAGTTGTTGCTTTTTCCCCTTCAAATTTAGTACAGTTGGCCCTCTGTATCCATGGGTTCTGCATCCATGGATGGTTGTGTCTATACTGATCATGTACAGACTTTTTATCATTATTCCCAAAGTAGTTCAGTATAACAACGATTTATACAGCATTTGTGTTGTATTGGGCATTATAGGTAACCAAGAGATGGTTTAATGTATATGGGAGTATGTACATAAGTTATATGCAAATATTAATACTACCCTTTTATATAAGTGACTTGAGCATCCTTGCATATTTGGTATCTGCGCAGGGTCCTGGAACCACTTTCCCCTCAGATCCAAGAGACAACTGTATATTGATTGTAGCATTTTTGAAAGGCTTACTTTGCACCAAGCTCTATACCAAGTGTTTTACATTTATGTCAACAACCATATAAATTATAAGCACAACTATTGAACCCGTTTTACAAATGAAAGACCTAAGGTTTAGGGAAGCAAAATAACTTGTCCAATATCACAGAGCTGGTAAGTGGCATAATTGGGAATTCCCCCCACCCCCAACGCCAGCTTAAACTTGTAACTGCAGTGTTGTCCCATCTTTTTTTTTTTTTTTTCATTTTGGTCACACACAATTAAGGTGGTAAAAATAGGGAAACATATTCCCAAAGAAGTTGTACAGCATGTTAAAGGTGGAGGAAGGCCTTTATCTGCCTGTGTTGTAAGTTTCATTTTCATTATCAATGAGCCTTTCTTAGAGTATCTAAATGTTCCTAAACAAAGCTGATAAGGTACACAGTCTCTGTTCATAGAGAATTTATAATCTCAGTTTTGCTAGGGATAAAAAGGGTATTTTCAGGGGATGTGCCAACTAATAAATTGTTAGAGAGCTTTGTGCAGCATCTTCCTCATGGTCTCAAAGTTTATGCCTATTTTCCCTGCACTTGGCTAAAGTGGGACACGTAACCCAGGTGAAATATAGCTAAGCTGACATCAACAGCTGCTGCTTCTCAAAGTCCTAGCGGGAGCATGGACACAAAATTACTGCAGAGGTGCTGGGTTTGCCTCAAATTGGATAGTTTCAAAAGGAATAGTAACTTATAGTGGGACCCATTTTGTGAGAACCTTATATCTCAATCTAAATACAAAACTTCTGTGAAAAGAACATTCCTAATTAGTGTTAAGAACACCTTCCAGATAAAAACGTCATGCAGGTAAGGTGCTAAGCATCTTTCTGAGGGCCTAGGGGGAGGCAAAGAAATCTAAACTCCCTGACCTCGAGTCTGGCGCATCAGCAAAGTAGAAATGAGTGGACAACGCCCTACATTATGTATATGGGTATTTGTGGGTTACATTATGGTATTTGTGGGTACAGAAGTTATGTGTTATACATGTTCCAAAAGGAAAAAGCAAGGAGGCTAGTGTGTTAACATGGGCTAACGTTTGAGCACCTGTATGTCAGTCCCAGTGCTAAGCATTTTTCATAATTAACTTCCAACATCCCTAAGTCATTTTATGGGTAAGGAAACAGGCCCAGAGAGGTGAGGCATTCTGTCTAAAGTCATACAGCTGCTTAGTAAAGCTGGGATTCAATTTCCAGAGCCTGTGTTCTGATCTCTATGCTGACTCATCTAAGGTTTGTACAAGTTCAGTGACTTGCCCAAGATCACACAGCAGGCCAGTGATTCCAATCCTAGTCCATTTGATGTCTATTCAACAACCAGGACCTAGTCCTGGATTTCTCACCCTTGGCATATTTGGGGCCAGATAATTCAGAGGAGAGAACCCTCTGCCAGGTATGATGTTTAGCAGAATCCCTAATCTCTACTCACTAGATGCCAGTAGCAGCCAACACCTCCTCTCAAGTTGTGACAACCAGTTGCCATATATCAGATATTGACAAATGTCCCCTGGCTGGGGGGCACAACCATGCCCAGTTGAGAACTGATGTTCTGACATAATCTGCTGCTTGTCCTCTTAACCTTTTCACCTTAAGTAACTCCCTCAAGAATGCCTGCACCAAGCCAGGATAGAACCTGAAGCAGAGCCCAGGAATCTTGGTGCCAAAGAGAGAATGGGACTGAGATTAGACTAGCCGCTGATGTGTCGCCAAGGGAGCAATGGATTAACTGGTAATGCCGTTACACAAACAATGTCATAACCCTTTGGGATGTTGTGCTGGCATCCTGGTTGGGTCACTACCCTCTGGTGGTAATCAAGGAGCAGCCTCTAGGGAAGCTGGTTGCATTTTTTTCTTTCCTGTAAAACTACAGGAATCCAGGTTTGTTTTTTTTTTTGAGACACAGTCTCGCTTTGTTGTCCAGGCCAGAGTGAGTGCTTTGGCGTCAGCCTAGCTCACGGCAACCTCAAACTCCTGGGCTCGAGCGATCCTTCTGCCTCAGCCTCCCGAGTAGCTGGGATTACAGGCATGCGTCACCATGCCCGGCTAATTTTTTGATGGCTTGGGAGTCAGACAGAAGCACAAATCCCAGCCCTGCCACTACCTAACTGGGATGTTAATTGTCCCCTACCAGCCTTGATTTTTGCATCTTTTTTTTTTTTTTTTTGAGACAGAGCCTTGCTTTGTTTGTCCAGGCTAGAGTGAGTGCCATGGCGTCAGCCTAGCTCACAGCAACCTCGAACTCCTGGGCTCAAGCAATCCTGCTGCCTCAGCCTCCCAAGTAGCTGAGACTACAGGTCCCAGCTGTGCCACCATGCCCGGCTAACTTTTTCTATATATATCAGTTGGCCAATTAATTTCTTTCTATTTATGGTAGAGATGGGGTCTTGCTCTTGCTCAGGCTGGTTTCAAACTCGTGACCTCGAGCAATCCGCCCACCTTGGCCTCCCAGAGAGCTAAGATTACAGGCATGAGCCACCGCCCCCGGGTGATTTTTGCATCTTTAAAATGAGGATAAGATTGACCAACAAGT